AGTACTTAGCTCAGGAGCCATGAGCTGTGGCGGTGCTTACCCTTAGAAAGTTGCTTTACCAAGACTCTTGTAAGTTAGCCCTCTGTCATTTTTGTCTACCAAAATAAGCTGCATAAAAAGCCAAATTTCTGCACTAAAAAATGTTTTATTTCTACCTAATCACCTTTTCTACAAATGTGAAAGGCTCTCTATGGTCCAGAAAATTTCAGTGATCAGTCATGATGCTATCAAGCCATTCTGAACATTGTTTCTGCATGGTTTTTGTCATAATTTCAGCTAACTTTGAACACCCTTAAATTGAGTTTCCCTGAAAAGTCACAATGCATGGCGTGTTTCCTGTATTTCTTCTCATTGCTGTGATAATTCCCCAGAATTTCAGACATGTTCCACTTAGACCAGACACTGCAGACAAGTAGTTCAACTTTGTTTTCCAGATGCCGCTTTGTACAAGATTTTTTTTGTCATAATAAGACTTATTTATGTCTATGAGTGTATTGTCTGAATGTTTGCCTGCACATCAGAAGAGGGCGTCACTCTTTATAATAAAATTTATTTATTTATGTCTATGAGCGTTTGCCTGCACATCAGAAGAGGGCGTCAGATCCAATGGGACTACAATTATAGATGGTTGTGAGCCACCATGCGGGTTCTGGGAATCGAACTCATGATCACTGAAAGAGCAGCCAGTACTCTTAACTGTTGAGCTATGTCTCCAACACCATCAACTGGATTTTTTTTTATTACTTTCCATATATGGATTTTTGGTTGCATGTGCACCATGTGGATGTAATGCTCTTGGCAGCCAGAAGGGGGCGTCAAATCCCCTAGAAATGGAGTTACAAACAGCTGTGACTACCGCGACACCTAGACCACACAAAGACAAGTAAGAAAGAACTACAGGCCAATCTCCCTCATGAACATTAATGTAAAAATACTCAATAACATACTGGCAAACTGAAGAATCATTCACCATGATTCTTCCCAGAGATAAAAGTAAGATTTTTAAAATATCCTAAATTTTATTGATGATACTCAACTATTGTATCATTTTTGCTTACTTGACCTTTTTCCGTATTTTTACTAAGAGCTTTTGATACAATGTATTTTGGTCATGGTTCTCCCACACACCCCCAGATTCTCTCCTAGTTGAGTATGGCTGTCAGTGTGGCTCAGTGTCTGGATCTGGTCTTTTAGAAAGTACATCAATTTATAGTTTAATGTCATCCATGTAAGTCATAGCTCCTACATTGAAAGAATATTCAAGACAGGCAGGTTTTTTTTAAATATCATGATTTAACTTATTTTATGCATAAATGTCTACTAAAGTTTGAGTAATTTTGGTTGGTCTGCTTGCTTGATTAATTTATTCAATAAGTGTATTAATTCTCAGTAATGAGTTTAAAAGTGTCATAAGTTAATGGTATGTGTTTTGGTATACTGATATATGCCAAAATTATAGGTTTAATATATATCCATTTGTTTATTTCATTTGAATTATGTCTTCACGTTTTATGCTCCTTAAAAAAACCTTGTAATGAGTACAGTGAATTAGGAATAGTTTTCAAGTTGTTGGAATTTTTAGTTTCTATTTAGAACATCATACATAACTCTAGAGTAAAGTATAAAACACAAAAGCAAACCTCACTAATTTATGTTTGAGGTATAAAAATCTCTAGAGCAGTTTTTCAATGAATAATGAATGTGTCAGTTCACAGAAAAGTATTTGGCAACTTTATCACGTGGACTTGGAATATATGTACACCATTCACTTCCTTTCCCTTCCTGGGTGTACTCTGCTTTTCTGGATTTCATCCTATTCTCTTTCTTCCTGAATGTACCAGTTCAGGAATTCTCTCTTTAGTCCTGTCTGTGGGTGGTCCTCCGAGTCGATCTCTAACTCCCCAACCACTAGTTCTGTTTTATTTTGTATAGAAAAACAATGAGTTGGAAGCTGTATGTACTCCCATCTGCAGCCCTCGGTAGTAGATTTACACATTTTGTCCGTCTGGCAGCCCAGCCCCGCCCCAGGGCCTGCTGCGTAAAGAAAGCATAGTCCCTCGGGGTCCCCGGGGTCGTGGCAGCTGTCCCTTGCCATTTGCCGCGTTTAGGTTGTCGGCTAAGGGTTCTGAGGGTGGCCCTGGACAAGTTTTCCTCTCAGTGGAAAATGTTACGCTAAGTAGTCGAGAGGAGAGTGGACGGCCCGGGTTGGTGTGCAGGACGGGAGTCAGTGAGACGGAAGGAAGCAGGCGCTCCAAGCTGACGAGGGCAGTAAAGGGCTTGGGCTCTAGGCAGAAGGGATCGGGCTGCCGTCCCCCTTGCCCCACGCCGCCTCTCCTCCTGCTGTGCAGTTTCTGTGCCTCCACACACCACCTCCTCATCTTCGGGGCCATGCTCGGCGCGCTGAAGGTTCTGTGACTAGCCACGCATTCCTGAATAGATCACAAACCCCTTTGCTTCAGAAGTCCACATCTGTCCGTCTCCCACCGCCTCCTCTCCGGCCAGCCGACGCCTAACGTGTGCTGCTGCTTTTCAAGTCGGCCTGGGAAGGGCTCTGCCCACACTGAGACCCGGCTGTGCGTGGAGCAGCCCCTCCCTTGTCTGGACTACCCCAGCACCCTGCGCTCTCCCCCACCCCTCCCAGTTTAGCGGCTCTGAGTGCTCCCTAGAGGACGGTCCACTCCTGGCCGCTGAAACACCTCTGCCTCACCCCTTCCGCGGCACCTTCCTTATGCGCCGCAGAATGAAGATGTGCTGGGTGGATGACAGAAAACATTAAAATTAGGTAGTCTAACATACATTTCACATTTTGTGCCAGATTTTATATTTATGACTAGAAATTAAAATCCAGATAGTATGAATTCTTGAGTGGAAACATTCAGTCCCTAGAGCAGGGAGCTTTAGTCACTTAGACACAAGACTCGCACCCCAGCTGTCCCAGGCCTAGTGACTCCACCATGAGCAGGAGAACTGTCATGTACCTGGGCTTCTGAGAGCCGTCTCTTCCTCCCAAGGATATGATTGCTCTCCTGGTAGATCGTATGCATGCAATCACCAGGGATAGATAGTTTTTAACAGTAGACCCAAAACATTGCAAATACCCAATTGACACACATGGAGAGAAGTGTTAAATTTTCTTCCCACTTAACTTTTCTGTGTGAACTGAATCCAATAATAATTCAAAGAAAATACCAATGCCAGCATTTTGAGAAGAAATAACTGCCAAGGAAAACATAACAGCATATTCCTCGGTACTGAGTAAATAAAAGTTGGGTGCAGGAGGGGGCAGCTTTAACTAAGTTGGGCTTATATGCAAATGTGCACATCCTCAGTTAAAGTCACATTGTACATGTAAAACCTTCTCTAGAGTCCTGGGTGTGTTCAGGAACTCTAGCTTGATTTGACCTTGGGTACCTTGCCTACTTCTCTCTTTCTTTTCTTTTCTTTTCTTTCTTTCTTTCTTTCTTTCATCTCCAAAGGAAACAACTTTCTTGATTCCTTTAATTTTGTGTGGATCTGAACTTTATTCCCTGTTGCTGCTATAAAAGAAGGAAAGGGAGGGAGGGAGGGAGGAAGGAAGGGAGGGAGGGAGGGAGGGAGAGAGGGAGGGAGGGAGGGAGGGAAAAAAAGGAAATGGTTCCAAACATTGCTACTGTTTCTGTCCCCCCCCCCCGTGTAACTAATATTTAACCATGAAAAGCACTCTGGTCTTTTATATTGTGGAGTGATACGTAGGTGAGACTGTATTTTCCCTAAGGGTACTTGCGGTCCTAGATTTCTACATTTTTTTCTCTAAAGAAGCCATTAGTCTTTCTGGAAGTCACCCTGCTGGTGGCCTCACGTTTTCACAGGCCCATTGGCCGTTGTGTGGGGGAAGACCTGAAGAGAGATTGTAGTAGAAGCAGGGGATGTTAGATTTTAGCGGAGACTCTGGCAGATATTGTCAAAGATAGTGCTACTACAACCAGTCATTGAAACACATCTCTGCAGTGACTAGTGACCTTGGGAAATTCTCAAACTAAAGCATGCTGTCAGAGCTGAAATCTGCTTCCATCAAGACTTTGTTTGGATGATGATGATGATGATGATGTGTGCACCTTCAGGACGTCTTTGTGGATTTATAGCTCTGTGGATATGTTCAGTGTCACTCGGTCTATAGTCAGACAGTTTCACCTGTAGATAATAGAATGAAGTGTTGGATTTTTGTATCATATAAACACCTTCCTTAAACCATCAGTTTCCTTAGAATTACCAAGCGTAGCAAACATTGCTTATACATTTTATAAAGAAGTACTAATTACCATGTTTCATATATATCGTTAAACTAACTTTTTATAGTTAAGTGAGTGGTTAGTAGCCAAAATAGTAAATATCTGAATGACCCACTGTTGCTGCCAAGAGTCTCGTTCTAATGAGTGAGTGAAACTGTGCACCCAGAGATCCAGTTGGTAAAAGTTACACTTAGTATATAATGCAAAAATAAAAGGGCCAAAGGCATTCATCTCATATCGAATCATTGAAGATGTTTCTGATTTCATACTGTAATTTCATAAGAGGCATATGAGGAAAACTGCATCTTCTGTTTTGTGTTTTATCAAAAGAAAAAACGAGGAGTGGTCATTTAGAGTCAGAAATGGTGCCGCAAGCCAGACTTGGCTGAATCTGCTGTCGGCCAAGACCAATGTTCTTTGATCTCACGTTTGAACCTTGTCCTCCAAATGAACGAAGTGGCCATTTTCCCCCTCAAATGCTCAGCAGACCTTTTGCCATTCGATGGGACCATTACTTTAAAACGTGATGTGGAAAACGAGGTGGGCTCTGTGGCAGATGTGCTATTCTTAGCCCAGGGAAATAAGCTCTGAGTGGATGAACAATGAAGGTTAGCAAGGAAACACGTGCTAGAGATTACAGACAGAGCCGTTTCCAGCAGTGGGACTCTCGCTTTAGGACTAGACTTTTGTTGGCGTGTTCAGCATTATGACGATTATTGTTTTTCTTTGCAGCTGCTACACATCTGTATCGAAGGCTGGGGCAACTGGCGTTGGTCGGAGCCCTTCAGTGTGGACCATGCGGGGACGTTTATTAGAACAATCCAGTACAAGGGTCGAACAGCTTCCCTCATCATCAAGGCCCGGCCACTCAGCGGAGTGCAGAAACAGGTGAGTTAGGCCCCTTGCGTTCACACCCAGGCAGCTCCCGAGCCTTTGTGTAACGGACGTGAACCCCAATTGTAATCAAGTAATAATGAAGCGGAGCAGCAACAGTTGTGGGCAGCAACACGGTGAATGCCCTGTGGATGGTGGCTCCCAAACCCCTGTCCCTGTCATTGACAGGAATTGCTAACTAGCAGCTAAGTTTACTGATCTTAGTTCCTCCTCTCCCTGTCACCACCTGCCTTCTGGTGGAGGTGCTAATGAGCTGTGAAATACCCAAAAGGCCTTTTCTGAGAAGGACAAGAGTAGTGGAGGCTGGCTAGCCCAGCATGGATGGCAGGAGTCGCTTCTCACGCAGCACATTGGATAATGTGTGTGGAAGGGCCGCGGTTCTCTCCTGTGACAGACTGAGCCCAGGCTCCAGCGAGCCTCTTTTTCCCTAAGAGTTAATATTAACTGCAGTAAAAATTCACTGCCGTCTAACTCTTGGCATATAAAACCTCAGCTCTCAGCACATATTTTTACGTATTTTATAAAACTTCCTTTTGGCCGTTTTTGAAGTTCTAAGACTGCAAAGGGAAAAAGTATCTGACACTTTTTTTTTCTGTGTTCTTAAGATGTGAAAATGTGGTTTCTAAAAGATGTTTTTCCAAGTACGGAGCATATGACAAAAGCAGAAAGGAATAAAAAAACAGGAAGTATTAAGGTCTGAAGACTGGCCTCACCACACACACACAAGGTTTTTGACATAAAGGGTTTTGACATAAAGGTCTGCATGTGGACTGTGGCCGGCAGACCAGAGCTCACGTAAAGGACTGAACACATGATAGGACCGCACTCAGTCCTGGGAAAGGGGCACCCTCGGAGGGAGCCCCAGGGGCTCTTCTCAAGAAACAGGCAGGCAGTGACGGGCGAGAGGGAGAGCAGGCCCTACCTCACATCCTTGGTCTGCGCCTGACCAGGGAGCGGGCCTTCAGGTTCTCGTGATTGTGGACAACAGCGGTGGAAACAGAACTCAGGGAACGTGGGGGCGGGCGAGGGGAGTCCTGATCAGACCGTCCCTCCTCAGAGTGTTGACTGTGCACAGGACAGGACAAAAGGCGAGACTCTGAGGATGGGATACAATGTTTGTTCTTAAGTTACAATCTCGTGTAAGCCCAGCCTGTGTTGTCAAGTAGACAAAGACGTAAATGTGAAACAAATGAGTCTCTCTGAAGGACTTAGGGACCTGCCTGCTGCCGTGAAGGAGGAGCGCAAGGGTCTCAAGTATGAAGTACTCACAGTCCTGCCGCCCTAAGAGTTCCTACAGGGTCGTGCTTCTCTGTGGTAAATGCACCCTCGCTTTCTGACCCCATCCCTGTCGTCACTCAGTGTGTTCCCCGCCCATTCACTAGCAAGTCAGGGAGAACGTCCTCCAGCTTTGGTTTAGAGGTCTGACCCCTCACACCTCCTAGTCCTTCCTGTGGCTGATCTCTACCAACTCTTAGGAAACACAGTTTCTTCCTGAAACTGGATACAGAATCTTCTACCAAGCTTTTACGTTCTCCATGGTTGTAATGCTGTGAGGGCTCTGTAAGCAGCCTCTGCATTATAGCCCCTTAAAAACAGTAGAAAGCACAAACAAAACCATACTGGGCAGGCTGTGTTTAGATGTTTGCATATACATATATAATGATAAAGAAAAAGAGGCTACCAGTTTGAGAGTCCGGGCAGGACATGCAGGGCTAACGGGAGGAAAGGAAAGAGAGTTGATGCAGTTATATTTTAGTTAAAAGTATAGGTAAGGGGCTAGAGAGATGGCTCAGTGGTTAGGAGCACTGGCTGCTCTTCCAGAGGACCGGGGTTCAATTCCCAGCACCCACATGGCAGCTCACAACTGTCTGTAACTCCAGTTCCAGAGGATCTGACATCCTCATACATACATGAATGGAGGCAAAACACTAAAGCAGATAAAATAAAAATAAAAAATTAGTATATTTAAAAATAAATAAATATGAAAAAAGAAAAACTCCAACATGGATGGGCAGGTTTGTAAGTCCCAGCAATAAATAGTATACACACATACAAAAAACAATTTCTAAAAACCTATCCAAGTTTTCCCTCTCCTCCTCTGTCCTTCCCACTCATACACACAAGCAATATTTTAAATTTTTTTCAATTGGATTTTATTTCTGTTGCCATGATAACTTAATGTTCAGATCTGGTAGTGGTGTGGTCCATTCAAAATGCAGGATTTTTTTTTTTCAAGCGGTTGAGGTTGGGAAGAAAGCCCCTTTCCTTCCCTCCCACCTGGACTTAGGAGTCTGCAGTAAACAGCAGCTGCCTGGTACTGAGGCTCATAGGATGCAGGTCCCTGGGGTGCTTCAACCACACTGCTCCGCCCCTGGACAGTGGAGAGTCGGCCAGAGCTCTGGGTAACCCTGACGTCATTTCTCACACTGGAATAGAGACTGGCCGTGTACACCGTTTACCGGGGTCTTTGTGTGCTGGGCCTCTACTGCTGTGCAAATGTGGTGTCCACATCTGTCCCTGCGTTTCCTGTCCCTTCACTGGATGGTCGCCTACCTGCCTGCCCATCTGAAGGCCGAACGAGTGCATCCGTGCTCCCCCCCTCCCCCCCACCCCCGTCCCCGTCCATACACTCGATCACAGCAAAGATACCGTTTTTTTTCCAGTGCATCTGGTGCTCTGCAGTTTCTTCTTGGCACTGATTTGATAAGAGCTCTGAAACCTGCTAAGTAAAATCATGTGTAGAAATCTTCAGTACACATCCCTGTGGCTTTGGGGAAGGAGAGGAACTAGTGTGAAACCTGGAAACGTGTATTAAAGAGAAACCCTACATTTAAAAAGATTTAAGTAGCTGTCTTCAACTGGTAAATTAATCTTGAAATTCTGGCCATGATTTGCAAAATAAAGGCACCGTGGTTAGACCAGTGTGAGGAAAAGAAAGCAGACAGAGCTCTCCTGAGCCCGGTTCCCTGAGAGTGCCCTGCAGGTGACTGGCCATTTTGACTTTCCCTCATCTAAGGACTCTTCCCTCCCAGGCCACTTCTAAGGGTTTCCCTGTTATCAACTTTGAAAGCCTCTTTAAAGGGTTTTTTACTTTAAAATGAAACTGTAAAAACCCACCAAGGGGATCTTTGTCTTTGGCCGAAGTGAGTCCCAATTGGCTGCAAAGAGGCTGTGGTGTCTGTGAGAGCTGAGCTCCTGGACCTCAAAGGTTGTGAAGTGGGCACCGTGCATACGTATCGCCAGCCCCGGCTGTATTAAGAACAAGCCAGTCAGATGCTGCCTTGGAGTTTTCAAATGTCTATTTAAAACCAGGTGCTACTGTGGCATCATAAGACTTACTACCATGAGTGCCTAGTAATCCCTAGCGTGTATTAAAAGGAAGCTTGCCTGCTGTTTTAGGGCTCACAGTTGAGTCTTAGGATTTGCTTTTGTGGAAGCATGTTTCTATCTAAAAGATAATAATGGCTAGCATCTCTAGGGAAGTATGACAGTGCAGAACAGCCTGTCTCACAAATGCGCTCCAGAAGAAACTGAAGCAAGTAGCGGTGAAGAAATGTCTGGGAAAATGCTAGGAGCTGGAGAGATGGCCCAGGGCTTAGGAGTGCTTAATAACTTCAGTTTCAGAGGGTGGAAGCCTCTGCCCTCCAAAGGTCCCTGAACGCATGTGATCCACACAGACTCATGCAGGCACACACATACGCATCAATAAAACAAATCTTGAAAAATAAAGTGCCAAATCCTACTACTCAAATAATGCAGTGTGCCACAGGAAGGTCACCTAACATTTGGTCTCTCATCTTGGTCGTTTGTTCTGGGTAGATCATAATTCACTCAGAGTTACTCGCGGGGCTGGAGAGATTACTCGGCAGCAGTCAAAGGCATGTCCTGCTCTGCCAGAGGACTTGAGCTTGGCTGCCAGAATCCACAATGGGTGACTCACAGCCACCTGTCACTCCAGCTCCAGGGGAACCACGTCCTCCTTGGGTCCCCACCTGCACACATGGCAGACGCGTGCGCGCACACACACACACACACACACACACACACACACACACACACACACTCATAAGTAAAAGTAAAAAAACGAGTCTTTAAAAAATAGTTATTGTGTTTATTCGTGTAAGTAATGGTGCACTGAAATCACGGTCACACTGTGTTCTGATGTCAGGAAATGTACTTTCAAGGTCAGTGGAACATTGATGTTATAAATTGTGCCTTTTAGTCTTCGTAGCAAGGTTATGAGGCGGATCCTGTTGTTTTATGTTTCGCTGCTCATCGGGGGAGGAGGGCAAACCGGCGTTAGTTAACTCAGCATCATTGCTGAGTCTGCGTCTCTCTGTGACTTCCTAGTCTCAACATGGCCACTCACTCTCTGTGTGACAGATGCAGGGGGGCTTTCCAAGTCCCAGATTGTCTCTTTGACCATCGATGAGTGAAATCTTCATATTAAAAACACAATTCCATGTTTACCCTAGGCATTGAAAACAGGAGAAAGGAGTTACCTTATACCGCCCGCTGAGGGCCAAGGAAGGTACCTGGCTGTCTTTGATACCTAAACCAACTCAAAGTGTTTAATAGCCAGGGAAAAGAGAGATGCTATTGAGATGAGCAGGGAGCCAACAGTGCTTGTCAACTTGTGTCCTTCTCTGTCTTGTAAAATCTAAACCAATGAGTAGGTACTAGCTTTTGTAGACACATGTTTATTGGGGTTATCTTCAGTATAGACTATGGGACTCAGTATCTGCATACCTGCGTTTTCCTTTTGTCAAGGGGAATCACACCTGCACCTATTTTATAAGAATCAAAATGGTTCATTTATGAAAATGATTTATATTGAGTAAGGGCTCTCTGACAAAACAGAGCCAATGTAGTATGGGGGACTGATTGATTGGTTGATTATAAATCAGTTCCCATCACTATGGAAACCAAAGTCCTAAGATCTGCGGCTAGCCAGTTGAAGAGTCACTGTGCAGGTCCAGTGTGACCCTGAAGTCCTCAGGACCAGCAGGGGTGCCCGAAGCTAGCAGCTGTTTCCATTTGAGTGAATCGGCTGGAAAAGATCAGTGCTCTACTGAGCCAGCAAAATACACACTTAGCACGGTTCACACTGACTGGACGGTGCCCTTCCGCTGAAGGAGGGACAATGTGCTCTGCTTAGTCTCCCCAGTCACATGGTAGTGTCATCCTGAGATGTCAGAATAAATAACATCTGACTAGGTGTCTGGGCAATCCACCATCCAGTCGAGCTGATACATTAAAAGTGGTTGTCTTGTGCGTAGCCCTGTAATAATAATATGTGTATTAGTTATTGATACTATTTTATAACCTGGAAAATATCACAATTGGGTGGTACAGTTTGTAAAAGTATTATATTTAGGGAATGAATTTATAGCTCAGTGATAGGGACGTTGACTGGGATGTGTGAAGCCCAGAGTTCCATTTCTAATACCACAAAAGAGAAGAGAGTCCTTTTTTCCTTAGTAATGGCAAATATTGTTATTACAGAAGGGTTCCCTTCAGAAACATATTAACTATGTAAGAGTAAATTTCACAATGTCTTTCCAGTTTCAGTTGCCTTAGAAAATATTTCTTACTACCCCCTATGGCCTATACTCTTAGCTGGGTGCAAAATTAGATAATCCATGGGTTTAATGAAACTTTTGTTATTTATTTTTAAAAGTTGTATAGTAGAATAACAAAATGTAACTCTGTGTTTCGGTCAAAGCTCATGGTATTATTTCCACCGAGACCTCTCAGTAGATGAGATGGGTTCTGGGAAAGCAGCCTGGCAGAGCACGGTGATGGCAGCCACTCTCGCGTTACCACAGCTGAGTTCTGGCTCTCACTTCCCATGCTCCTCGACTTCTCTATCGACCGTCAGTACTAGCCGCCATTTCCTGGCCAGCCACCCCTCCAGACACGATTCCCACTTTATATCACGTCACCCTTCTCCTCAGCCCTTGTCTGGCTTCCCATTCTGACTCTGTGGTAATTGGTGGGTCTGAGCCTCCACCCGGTCTAGCAGGTAAACTGTGCACAGGCGTACTTCCACGACTCACAAGCCTTTACCTCACTCACCTCTCGAGAACCTGCCCGTTTCCAGCTCTTCACTGGTCCATGCATAGCTCCAGCTCTGTGTGGTCAGAACAAAACTAAAGTCGCCGTTCCCCGTCTTACTTCATTTGGAATGAGCATCAGTGGGCCTTCCTAAAGGGTCGCATGTTTCTGGTTAATGACTCCCAAATCGATGACTTCTTTTGTCTTTATGTATCATCCTTTAGATTATCATCTGTGGAAGACAGATCATCTGTAGTTACTTGTCCCAGAGCATAGAACTGAAAGTTGTTCAGCATTACGTTGGCCAAGATGGACAAGCTGTAGTCCGAGAACACTTTGACTGCCTCACAGCCAAAGAGAAACTGCCTTCATACATTCTAGAAAACAGTGAGCTGACAGAGCTGTGCGTGAAGGCCAAAGGAGACGAACACTGGTCGCGAGACGTGTGCCTGGAACCCAAAGCCTCTGAGTATAGCACTGTCATCCAGGTAAGCGAGGTATCGACAGAGGTGTGGACATCTTAACAGGGCGGCCTCAAGAGCAGGGACGGTCTCGGTGTGCACTTCACTTGGTGCAGCTCCTGCTCTGGAGTAAAATCATAATTGTTACCTGCAGAAAGCGCTATCTGAACAAGCGCAAAGACTTGGGGGGGGTGCCTCAGGCAGCTGGCTCCCTGGCAGTCCCTCGCAGACGCTGCTGCGACGCCCCTTGAGAGTCTGATGCTCTTCACCCTCCCAGTCCATTTTGCCCCACTCTCCGTGTACAGACTCCTTCACCCCGTGGAGAGGGCTCCCTTCACCTCGCCATGTTCTGTCCACGCCATCTTAAAGTCTGGCTTGTCTTAGCTGGTTTTCTTAGTGACTTTTTCCTTCATCGTCTAGCCTGATACTCTGTGACTTATTCTGCTTAGTTATTTATCACGCTGTTTGGAGTCTAATGGGGCCTTTCCCGTCTCGCGCACAGGTGCCCGCTTCAAACAGTTCCATTATTTATGTGTGGTGCACAGTTCTGACTTTGGAACCCAACTCTCAAGTTCAACAGCGAATGGTGAGCACTTTCCCATCCCTGAAATACGGTGTCTGACTCTGACCTTTCCTATTCTCAGATAAATAAGGTCAGAGTGACCCAGGGAGGAGATTTACTGCAAGTTTGTTTCAGCAGCCAACAGCTGGAGCACACTGCAACAAAGCAGATATGAAAGTTGTTCTGTCCTCTCATTTTTATAGATCGTGTTCAGCCCTCTTTTTATCATGAGGAGTCATCTCCCAGACCCCATCATCATACACTTGGAGAAAAGAAGTCTGGGTCTGAGGGAAACACAGATTATTCCAGGAAAAGGGCAGGAAAATCCACTGCAGAACGCAGAGCCAGACCTTGTGCATCACCTGACATTTCAAGCACGGTACGGATGGCGAGGGTTCTCTCCGGAAGCTTAGTTGAACTATTTTGGTTGCATGGATGCAGTCTTGCTGATGTGTTTATCTGAGAAGAATGTCACTTTACAACTGCTCGGCCTCATCCATGGGCTCAGACAGAATTTGGCCTTTTTCAGTAAGCTTATAAATAACCAATGGAATTGTTAAAAATGTAATTTAATTTAGATTTGATGGGCACGTTACTGCAGAGAACAAGAGACTTAGAGATCTCAGCCAAGACCCAAGTCATCTAACAAATGTCGTAGGTCTCTAACTCACAAAAAGGAGGAGGGCTCCCACCAGTCTATCAATTTACGTACGTTCATAATTGGGCTTTTCCAGTAAGTTATAGGGCACTTAGAAATGTGATAATGTCTCTGCTTTCCCTCTCCTAGGGAAGAGCATGGCCCCTCAGACTGTGCCGTCCCCATATCAACGGCCCTCATCAAGCAGATAGCCACTAAGACGCAACCTGGAGGCACAGTTAGTGAGATGCTGGATGAGTTCTATGGACCAGAAAAGTCCCAGGAACCTATCTGGCCCTACAGCAAGAAGGATTGTGACAGGTAACATCCATCACTAATTTCTACACGTGCGTCTAAACATCAAGAAGCAACCAATCACTTCTAACGAACTTGTCCTTGAGCTCCAAGAAAAGAAAGGGAGAGAAGGGAAGGGGAGGGAGGGAGGGAAGGAAGGACTAATCACTAAAGTACTAGCTGTATCATCCATATTTTTTGCTCTGTGGTGTAAAACACCTCGCAGGAGGAAAGATTTGTTTGGCTCACAGATTGAGAGGGAGGGCCGCATAGATGGAGCAGCTCCCAGCTCGGCAGCCAGAGCACAGAAGGACAGTGCCCCTCGCTTCCTCCGTCTTAGTTTTATTCCCTCTCAGCCCCAGCCACACACACTCTGCATCCATCCTCTCTGAAACACCATCTTCGGCACACCCAGAGCTGTGTGGTGCTGGGGATCCCATCTGAACTTTCCAGTCCGCTCAGGTTTATAGCTCGATAAACCGTCATGCTAGACGCAGTAAGTGCCTTGGCGAAGGTGGTTTGCCAGCACCTGTCAGACTCCGACGCCATCGAGTCTGCTGTTGGCTCACGGGTGTCCCACTCCTAAGGCGAAGCTTCATTGCATAACAAGCCACTTTACTCCACTGCTAGTGCAGCCCCGGGTGGGTCTGGTGTGCAGTGGTACCCCGCCCGCGGGAGCACTGCATGTCTGGGACGCCGCAGCACACTTCATAAACCCCGAACCCGTCCTGTGTGGGTGAGTCACTGGGATGTGTCGTTTGGAGCAGGAGTGAGCAGCTGAGCCAGTGGGACAGCCCCATGCGAGTGAAGCTGTCCCTCTGGAAACCGCATGTCAAGACCCTGTTGGTGGAGCTGCTGCCGTGGGCCCTGCTCATCAGTCGGTCCAGGTGGGACCTCTGGCTGTTCGAAGGGGAGAAGATTGTTCTTCAGGTCCCCGCTGGCAAAGTCATCATTCCTCCGAATTTTCAGGTAATACGGCCTAAAGCCAGCGCACTCCTTTTCCTCGGTAGCTAACTCTTACTCTTAGGCTATGCTTCCAGCCGTAACAGAATGAATCACTTATGGAAAGCTGACCTGGTGGATGCAGACATAAAGGGTACGGAATGTTCTTTGATAGTTAAACATTTTTCCAATGCGTTTTTCCCTCATCCGTGGTACCAGCCGTGACTGAGCTACCATGACATCTAATGACACGTACCACTTTCCTTCCCGTCCCCACTCCTGCGAGCTACCTGACATGTAACACGCTTAACACTGAGCCGTCCTTTACAGCTGCGAGACTTCACTTGTTGGTCATTGTTAAGAGAAGCTTTTTCTTGTGAGAAGCCTTCCCGCCAGCCTGGTTCTAGAGCCGCATCAGTTCCAAATAAACACACAGGAGGCTGTATTAATTATGAAGCTGTTGGCCTTGCTTGTCTCTTAACTGGGTAGCTCTGACTTAAGTAATTACCCTATAATTGTTAATCTAAGTATGTTTCTTACCGGAGAATAGTTCCGGGCTTCCTACCCCATGGCGTTACATCTTGACTCCCTTGTGTTTCTCCTTCCCAGAGTTCTCCTGGACTCCTAGTCCCTCCTATCTAGATTGCCTATAGGCCAGAGAGTGCTTTATTGACAAATGCACAGGACTTCCCCAACAAGTCATAGCACCACAGAAGCATCCATGACAGGGTAGGTAGGAAATCTCACCCAGAAAATGAAAGTTCACAGACAGACTGTGGCACCAGACAACGGACGCCACAAGGCCACCCTGTTTCAAGGAGAAATACAAGTTTATGAGGAAACTTAAAAAGGTTCCTAGAGAGCAGTTTCAGAATCTTCTCTGTGAGTTCCAGTCTGTCAACATCTTTACCCAGCTGTCTGTCTTCTACTTCTTAACGCAGCCAGATGCTGTCACCCTATGGGACTGCAGTGTCCACCCGTGAGGACCTAGCATTGCATGTTATTCTGATGTCTCCGTTTTCAAGTCTTCAGAATTCATGGGGTAGTCACAGCATGTGTTTGCTTTTTCTCTCTTTCATGAACTTGAATTTCATTGTGAGCCAAAAAGGATACTGGAAACCAAAATGAAATACATGTTGTTGTTACCCCCTGGCAAAAAAAATACAGGGGGGCTTTTGGTTGCCTTAAAAGCTCTGTTGTATAATTTTGGGTTGGGTTGGGTTGGGTTGGGTTGGGTTTCTCTGTGTATTCCTGGCTGTCCTGGAATTTTCTCTGTAGACCAGGCTGGTCTCAAACTCACAGAGATCCACCTGCCTCTGCCTCCCAGGTGCTGAGACTAAAGGTGCATGCTACCACACCTGTATAATTTTTTTTAATCCTGGAGATTAAACACTGAGGTGAAATATGGAAGAATTAACAATAAAATTGAGGCATTGTTTTTCCAGGAAGCTTTTCAAATAGGAATGTACTGGGCACACACGAACACGGTGCACAAGTCGGCAGCAATTAAGCTGGTCCATGACGTGACGTCTCCTAAGTGGAAGGACGGTGGGGACGGTGAGGTCGTGACGCTGGGTGAGGAAGCCCTGGTCGATGCTGAGATCAGACTCGGTGCCTTCCCAGGGCATCAGAAGGTGCGGTCTGTGCCCGTGTCGCAGGGAGATCATTTGCATGTGTCCCGTATGTCTCCCTCCCCCTTTTAGGCCCCTCCTGGGTTAACTTCTTCTACATCGTTATAGCGGCTTATGTGGGTCCTGTCACTTTTTATATTAGAAAAGAAACTATAACTTTTTTTGAAAAATATGAGTACTTAAATATATTCCTCTAATAGGAAGAATATGGCATCACGTATTATATCTCCTCTAGGAAATTCCAGTGTATACTCATGAAGTTAAGAATACAAAGACAAGTAGCACCTTATTGTTCTTCTAAAAGTGGTTCTGACCTTGGAACTCCAGGTGTAGATACCCCACACACCTACCTCCCTTGAGAACTACTGTTGTGTGAGGGTACCGCCTCTTACAAGGATACCTTCAGGCAGGTGACGGCTCTAGCTGTTCATCCAGAAATGCCATAAGACAATGAAATGGCGCATGTCAAGAGTAAAACCATAACGCCTGACCACATAGGCTCCATCTTCTCCTGTGCCTCCAGCAGTTGCTTCCTCTTCTGTATAACACCGACTGCCTGTTGTGCATGCCATGAGGAACTGGAAGTTTAATATGCACTGCATACCTAAAACCCATCAGAAGCACAGTATAAGGTTACATGAGGCTCAGTGCTCCTTCCTCCATTGCTGTCCTTTGTGTAAAGTTCTCCAGGCTCTCCTTGATCAAGCGAGGTGTTCTGCAGCTTGCTGCTAGAATGAACTTGAGGCAGAGGTGTAGTAATTTAAGTAAAGCAGGTTCAAGCAGAGGGATTTTTTTATTAGGGAAAGGGATCATCAAAAGGGGAAGGGGGGGGAGACCAGCCTCCAGGGAGAGGAGCAGCAGGAGGCGGGAGAGGAGAGGAGGATGGGAGGTGGGCAGGGCCCTTTTAATAGGTACAGGTGGTGCTCTTATTGGCAGCAGCTGAGGGTGAATCCTGTCAGGACCCCATGGGCAGGTCAGCACAGATGCCTGAATACTAACAAGAAGGATGTATGCTGGGAGGGACCCTGCTGAATAAGACATGTGGCACTTGTTCCCAAACAAGTGCTTTGTAAACACTGTTTGAGATCACGTGTAAAACATCTGTGAAAAAGTCACCTCTCCGTGTCTGCATGACAGCAGCATCAGTAATTGGCTTGTTAAAGGGCCGTGTTATAAATGCTGGCCCCTTAATTGGCGAACACATTTTTGAGACCAAAAAGGAATGCTCTTAAGTACTCCCCAAAAAGGTAAGGTTGGTTCTGTCCTGGGCAAATCCATATATAAAGCAACTCTTCAAGAATAGTTGAGGCTACATATAGTGGTAAGCACCTGTAATCCCAGCATGGTGATCCAGAAATTGGGGCTAGCTTGGGCAATAGTAGAACTGGGGCTAGCTCTGTCACAAGGCAAAAAAAAAAAAAAAAGTCAAGTGTTCATATGTGTCTGTGTGGTGTGAAAACAGTCAAGTGTTCATATGTGTTTCATACGTGTCTGTGTGTTGTGAAAATAGTCAAGTGTTCATATGTGTCTATGTGGTGTAAAAATAGTCAAGTGTTCATACGTATCTGTGGTGTGAAAACAGTCAAGTGTTCATACGTGTTCATACATGTCTGTGGTATGAAAACAGTCAAGTGTTAATACGTGTTCATACGTGTCTGTGGTGTGAAAACCGCTGTCTTCCCTTGCTTCTCCTGCAGCTGTGTCAGTTCTGCGTCTCCTCCATGGTGCAGCATGGCATACAAGTTATTCAGATTGAAGATAAGACTACCATAATCAATAATACCCCATACCAGATATTCTATAAGCCGCAGCTGTCTGTCGCCAGCCCCTGTTCTGGAAAGGAGGTGAGTAGCCGTAACACGGTTGTCTTCTCCGTTTCTGTCAGTTCATTCCTAGTTTAAGAAGGTAAAGAACATTGTTTTTTAAGACCAGGTGGCCTTTCCTCCATGCTGTAAAACTATCCAGTAGACGGTTATCATTCTTTAGTCTGTGCTTACTGCTGCCCCTTTCAGCTCCTAAAAGTGATTTTCAGGTAGTCATGTGTGGTGACCATCTTCCTTCTAACTTACAGTGGATTGTGCTATTGACAAAAATGTCTGAACAGCAGGGTTCTCAGCACAGCTTCCTAGCGAGCAGTGGAGGCCTGATCCTCCCTGTGTTCCCTTTGCAACAGTGGCCTCGACATTCGGGGAGACTGAGACAGTAGGGAATTTTTTTGAAGTCTAAAATTCAGAGGCATGAGTCACTGAGATGGCTTGGGGACTAAGCTCCTGCGACTAAACTTAACAGCCTGAGTTTGTTCTGCAAAACCCACAGTAGAGAGAACCAGCCCCAGGAAGGTGTTCTCTGCTGTGTGTGTGTGTGTGTGTGTGTGTGTGTGTGTGTGTGTGTGTGCAGGAGGATGTTCCTCCTGCAAGTGAGCCTCACAGTTTGTCTTCGGGGCACCCCATTCCTTTTCCTGAATTTGTTCGAATCTCTTTCTTCAGACTCGCCCTGTCCAGCATGACTCATTCCCCAGTGCATAGCGTCTCTTTCCCGAGGCCCGAGGACTTCTGCAGTGCCTAGGGAACGGTGGGAGCTTGTTAGCTCACATCTGAGAAGCTGCCCCTGCTGTCACTGTCACATAGGGCCTCTGAGTGGAGGCAGGCGCAGTGGCACACCGTGTCCCCATCAAGGCCACTTTGTGAAAGCGCCAGGTTATGGTTTCTCGGAAGGGACACTTCTCTGTGCTGCTACGGTGACCTCGCTACTCTGTTGTCTTTCCAGCATTTCCGTGTCCCAGACAGTGCCACGTTCAGCATTTGCCCAGGCGGAGAACACCCTGCTCTGAAATCCAGCTCCCTGCCTTGCTGGGACTTCTTGCCCGATGTGGGGCCGTCCATGGACACAGCCGTGCTTCAGAAACAGATGCTGCTGGGCTTCTCTCCTGCGCCAGGTGCTGATGGCTCTCAGTGCTGGAGCCTGCCAGCCCTCATTAGACGAGAGCTTCCCAGGCAGAGCGTGGCGGTGCCCTGTGGGACCCTGAGGGAACATGGACTCTGCACCAGGTATTTTACCCAGGGGTGCGTGCTCTTTGCTTGTCATTGCTCGTCAAGAGACCAGGGATCCCATGTGTGATTCTAGGTCTTCTCTCATCTTTAATGACTTGTAGACACTGGACATAGTCGAACAAAGGTCACGATCACAAACAGGGTGTCCACTTAGAAGATCACACACACACATACACACAGGGTGTCCACTTAGAAGATCACAAGATCACACACACACACACACACACACACACACACACACACACACACAGGGTGTCCACTTAAAAGATCCCTCCCTGCCACACACACCCTTTGCACCGTGTGCTGCTGGGGCTGGGAAATGGTGTTCCAGAGTGGCAGTGACGTATGGTAATGAAAACAAAACCCAGCACCCTTTCAGCAGCTCTTTCTCTGCAGAATGGGAAGAAATGAAGCCAAAAAATGGAACAAAGTCAAGTTGGGAAGTTTTTCTTTTCCAGCATTTTACTTTTACTTCAAAATGGAATCTTTCACAAAGGACGTTCAGAGAGATAATAGCACAGATAAGCACGAGCCAAGGGATAGACTGTGCTGTGGTTGCTCCTGCACGCAAGCTGTTCCGATCGCAGATTACCAATTATGCAAACAACAACCACAGGATTGGGCCAGAGACGGGCAAAGGTTTGCTCGGACTGGACATGTGTCTTGTGGTTGCTCCGTATCAGGTCTTCTTGGCAGATGTCAGAAATAACTTACCATGGAGTATACAACCACAAAAGAAAACATGGGTGACCTCGAGAGGGGCCTTCTCCTCAGGGTCCTGGTTTATACACACTGAGATCGAAACCATCCCAGCTTCCCTGGTGTGTGCAGAGATTTGCAGTAACCACTTTCAGGGTTGCAGCCTAACTGAAGATGTGCACACCGGCCAGGTCCTGCTCCCTCCACACAGAGACCCTATCTGAACACGTCTTTTTCACCCCTGGCCCTGTGAGGACGGTTGCTTTTACATTTGGTTTTAGATGACACTAAGCATGTTGAGTTCTCTTGAAGGATACATGAATTATTTTTAAGCGGAAAGTCAAAATTTTTTAACAAAAATGTGAAAACTAGGTTTAAATCTGCTAAGAATCGCAGTATAAATCGATCTTATGTACAGATATTCAAGTAAATAGAAGTATGACCTATAGTCCCAGCCCCAGCTTCTATGGCTCAAAGGAAAATTGTCCATCGGAAGCTGGCTTGCCCAACCCCTTCAAACTGAAACTGAAGACGGCTTTGTTGCCCTAGTGAGGACTTCACTCGGCCCAGCAGTGGACACTGGGTAGCATGGTGGCGGTGTTTTCACCAAATGCTAGTGGGCAGTTCCCTTGGTTGTTCCAGGCACAGACAGATTTAGGGGAGAACTCTCTGCAAATGGTGCGTCACACACCCTTTTAGTCAGACTAAGAACTGTGTTTGGCGAACTACCTAATTCCATAATTTTCGTAGTTAGTGTAGTGCGCCAGAGAGACTCTCGCTCCTGTTTGGACATAAGTAGTGTTTGTTAATCTGCAGGATGGTGGTGGGCTTCTCTTGAAGACAGTGGTTATCTGTACCTCTGTAGCCACTTAAAAGCGAGGGGTCCCAGCTTCTCTGCTGACCAAAACGTAGGTCGCACAAAGTATGTGCAAATTAAGAGCACACAATTCTCTAGAAATTTCTAAAGCAGAGAAAAGTAAAAAATGGCTCGATTCTTCCTTGACAGAGCTTGAAGAGTTTAAGACACACCAGTGCCGAGGAGAGGGTGGCTGGCAGGGTTAGCATGAGGCCAGCAGTTGTCTGTCTGGGTGACGTGTCATGGGGGTTTAATGTAGAATCGCTTTTCACATTTTGGAGTATTTTATAATACATGCAAATTACTGCTAATATGAAATTAGTAAACCCACATTCATGTACATCAACTATGAAATGAGGGGCAGACTCCTTCTGGAAAACACCCGCCGAGTTAGAAAAGAGGCGCCCAGAGTTTGGAACACACACATTCAAGTAGACCGTGACCCCGGGAGAAGCCTGTGTTCCGCTGTAAACCATGCTGTCGCTGGTCTGTTCCAGGGCAATAGCACTGACGTATCAGGAGCACTTTGGAGTCACGTATTTAACCCTCTCAGAAGACCCGAGCCCTCGAGTAATTTTCCACAACAGATGCCCAGTAGCGATGCTCGTGAAGGAGAATATGAGAGGTACGCGTCACAGCCCTGAAGTGAAACTCGGGAGGCATAGGCTCTTCTGGGGGTTTTGACTTAGTAGATGCCTGTGGCCTATGAAGAATTCTTACTAAAGTGTCGTTCACTCTTTCTGCACTGTTTGATGTCTCCGAGTCTGTGTCCCTAAGACAAAGGTCTGCATGGGTCCTTCTTTTTTATGTTTCAGATGTTCCAAAGTTTGAGGTTTATTGCAAAAGGATCCCTCCTGAGAGTTCAGTCCATTACGAGCTATACCACCAGATTATGGGTTACCCAGACTGCAAGACGAGAGACTTGCTTCCCAGCCTCCTTCTGAGGACAGAGTCCACAGGAGAGATGGCAGCGGAGTGGAGCGACGCCGTGGACACCAACAGTCAAGGGACACAGGTGAGAGATGGATGGCTTTTTCTCACACAGCTCCTCCCCTTCCCTCCCTCTTCCTCCTCCCTCCTCCCTTCTCCCCCTCCCCCTCCCTCCCTCCCATGTGTGTTATTTCTCTGTGTGTGTGTGTGTGTGTGTGTGTGTGTGTGTGTGTGTGTGTGTGTGTACACGTGTACGCCAAGGTCAGAGGCTAATCTGTGAAAACGAGTTCTCTCCTACCTCCAGACGGGTCCTAGATAGGGAACTCAGATTTCTAAATTCTGAACTGGTTGAGCCGACAAGATGGCCCGGCAGGTGAACACTTGCCGCCAAGCCCGATAGCTTTAGTTTAATCCCTAGGACACATGGGGCAGAAAGATGAGTCTATCTCAGAAATAATACATGTCAAAAGTAAGATAAAATTAGAGACTTGTTTATGGGGAAGGTTCAGCTGTCCAGGGTTTGGATGGTTATGGTGTCGATCCTAAATTAATTCCTTCTTTTTGAAAGCATAGCATTTTAAAATTATACTAGAAATATAGAGAAACTCCATAAATATCTTTTTAGACTTCAGCAAAAAAAAAAGTCTTTCCTTACTCTAAGTGTTACTGGTGTTATTTTCATTGAAAATGACTCTGGGACCTAGCATTTCTTTTCTGCTGTGCATAAACTTAAACACATTTACAGTACAATCAACAGTTTTCTGTCACTGTGACAAAATACCTAAGAGAACCTGCTTCAATGGAAAGATCTGTTTTGGCTCGTGATTTCAGAGATTTTAGTTTCGGCCGGTTCTGTTGCCATGTGACAAGGCAGGGTCAGGGTACAAGATATGGCTGGGGAAAGCCTCTCACCCTCAGGCGCAGCCAGGATAAAACACGTCCTTCACGGCAGCGGCCCGTTTCACCCTTCCCAACAGCCTGTCCAGCTGTGAACGTGGAAGGGCTGACTCCAGGATCAGGTCAGCTCCCTCCCAATCCCTCACCTCCCTGTCATCGCCAGCTGGAGACCCGGCCTTTAGCACACGAGCCTCTGGGGCCCTTCATATCCAAGCCATAGCAGTGACCAGCCAACTCCAAACAGAAACAGTAACTTCCACTCCCCTGCCCTGGTGGCCTCTAGTCTGCTTTCTGTCTCTCTGAGTTTGTCTTCTCTGAGCATCCCAGATAAAGAGGATGATGAAGTATTTGTTCTTAGTGCCTGGTTTATTTCATTGAGTATGTTCTCTTAAAGATTTATTTATGTTATAGCGTGTATCAGAGCATCATTGCTTTTTATGACTGAATAAATTTGTGCTTATGCTTTCTCACAGACAGGTCTTTCACAAAAGCTTGAAAAATATGACCTGTTGTAATGGCTGTAAATATGTGTTAAAAGTATAAAGTATTTATGATAATAATACTGGCTATGGTTTAACAGCCACTCTGTGTCTGAGCACCCCCACTCTTCTTTAGGCTTCAAAACAACCAAGTAGGTTATGACTCATTCTAGATGTGGGAGGGGAGTCTCCCACAGTAGCAGGACCTAAATCCCATGCATTGAAAAGGACCTAGGAGTGTGCCCCGCCCTGCCTAACCATAGCACGTGCTGCCTCTCTCTGCCAGTCCTCATTTGGACGCCCCTGACTTTCCTTTCCTGGTCCTCGGGGGCACTGGAAACTTTTACTCTCAGGAGTCATGAGAGCCCCTTGACAGTCTCCTGCCTCCCTCTTTGGCCCCCGTGGGCTTGTATATCATTTGTAATTTTAACTGAACTTCCAGAATCCTCTATGTGATATTTACTCAACTTGAATGAAAAAATATCAAAGACAGGTCTACAATACAAATACAGACCCTTGAGGTGTTATTTTTGTTCCAAAGAAGTCACCATACTCACTAGTTTCATTTAACATCAAATTGCCCATAGATGTTCTTACTAGGATCTTTGTCCTTTTTTAAATGTGTGTATGTCCTATGCTTTGACTGTAAAAGAGAGAGAGCGTACGTACTTGTCTTCCTGAGTCTAGTTCATTTCCTTTAATATAACAATACCCAGTTCTGTTCATTTTCTTGCAAGTGACATAATTTAGTTCTTTATGTTTGAATGCTATACCATCATGGATGGATGGATGGATAGGTAGACAGACAGACAGATAAAGGTAGATGATAGATGGGTAGATGATAGACAGATTTAGATGTATGTTTCCTTTATCTATTAATCTGCTGATACCCACCTAATTTGTACTTATGCGATTTCCTATCACATTCCTCACACCCCATCCTCATCCCGTCCTGTAGCCCAGTGCCTGTCACCACGCCGAGAGGCCAGCGGAACAAGTGAATGACCAAATGAATAGACTAGGTAAGAAGCAGTAGCTATCGAAAGACTGTGCGCAGGAAGCCATGAGCATCTCAGGGTTGGTCCTTAGCTGACTAGAGTTTGTGAGGTAGGTAATAAATGGTCTGCTGAGAGAAATGAAAGCGGGGAGGACAGGTCCGAGCAGAGCAGAAGCTGTGGAAACAGAAGAAAGAATGGCTGGCTGAACAGCCCTGAGCACCCCATTCTCTATGGTCACCTGAGTTGTGTCCGCCCAGGCTCCACGGGCCGTGCTTTACATCAGCAGCCCCCATCTGAGCTGTAAACCTGCTGCAAGGCATCGGTGCAGCCTCGGATGGCTACAGTCTCAGGCCTCCACACGCTAAGTCCTTTAAATCCCCACATGTCCCTGAACCCCCTGCAGCAGCTTGAAGACTTTTGAAATCTTCCTCGTGCATGACTAGGGAAATCTTTACAACAGGCATGAGGCCTGCCAGACTGTATTTGGGGAGCTCTCGTCACCTTAAATTCCTCAGCCTTTTGTACTGGGGGCACTTCAAAGCCGAGAAGGGCACTCTTTCTGACACCTTGTCACCCATGGGGAGGACCCATGGAGGCTCGTGTTCCCATCTTTTAGGAGCTGCATGCCATGTGTCCCGCAGACTGATGCACTTCCTCCCCTGAAAGATGTCTTTCCACCCTCTCACATCCTCCCGCTAGCGCCCAGTCATAGGAACCACTGGGGACAGAAGTAGCAGAGTCCTGAGGAGGTAGCAGTCCTTGATAAGCACTGGCTTGTCGTCTGGGAGCACTCATCAGCCCCAGGTCTGAAGGACAGGACATGAGTTCCAACCCTGACCTAAATAAGCAGGATGAAGTCACACAAAAATTCCTGTTACAGTTCCAGGCTTTTTGTCAGACCTAGTTACATCTCCAGGCTGTTGTGCATGGGACACTCTTATGCCTTCTAATTTTGAAATGGGGTGCATGAACAGCGCGTACAAATGATTGCAGACTCCCAGAAAGAAGGATGTGATGGCCCAAGGAACAAGTTTGTGTGGGTAATTTCAAGTCGTCGTTTTGATCTTATCAGCAGAATGGTTTGGAACCCTGTCTTACATAGCACACGGGGTTCTGGTGGTCAGAGCCTTATCTTTGGTAGTTAGCCAGTGGTGTATTGAAGAGGCCAAAGCAAGATGCAGAAAGCACACAGAAGGTACCATGTAGCTAGCAACCGCTGTACAGCCTGCCCTGCCCAGTACCCACACTGGGCTTGTGACCTGTGCCAGCCATTAAGCTCGGTGCTGCTGAGCTAAGACGTAACAGCCCACGCTGTCAAGTGTACATGTGCACGGGACAGTGTCTTCCTGCAAGCTCTCAGTACTGTGAGGAGAGGGAGTGGGCATCCTTGACGGAAGCAGGGGCTGGGCGTGTGCCCCCCGGCGAGGAACCACTGTCTTCCGTCCTTCGAGGATGCAGGGGCATGAGTGGGACAGGCGTGGGAGAGTCCTCTAAGCAGGAAGAGAATGTTTGAAGCTTGAGAGCGCAGATGGCATTGTAATCCTTCTAGGGCACCGACGAGGCTGAGATGCCAGGTCAAAGAAAGGGAGAGAAAGAGGGCTCCAGGGATTTAGACCACATGTGACCTGGCAAAGACTGGGATCCATCTTAATGTCACCGGAAGTCACTACCTTGCTTATGTAAAGTCCTTTCTGTCTTTCTTTGTGCGTGCATGTGAGTGTGGACACGTGCGTGGACACCATACACGTGGAAATCAGAGTCCTTGCCTTCTGCTCCATGTGAGGTAGTTTCTTCAGGGACTTCCTTCACGCTATAGGAACACTGAGATTCACATGTGTTCTTGGGCTCTAAACTCAAGTCCTCGTGCTAAGTGTGCAGGTACTTTACTCTTGAAACCCTGCCCCACTGCCTGTGCCCAGTATTTCTGAGCTATTAAGTGACAAAGGAAAAACACTGTCTTGTTTTTTAAGACAGGGTTTCTCTGTGTGTGACATTGGCTGTCCTGGAACTCGCTCTGTAGACCAGGCTGTCCATGAACTCACAGAGACCCGCCTGCCTCTGCTTCCTGAGTGCTGGGGTTTAAGGTGTGCGCTGCCACCGCCTGGCTAAGGAGAACTATCTGAGACAGGTCTCTCACTGGAGTCTGGGCTCACGGGGCTAGCCACCTTAGGGGCCCCAGAGATCCTTTTCTCTCCCACCTCGACAGCACTGGGATTACAAGAACATGGCACCACTGACATGTCCCCAGATAAGGTGTCATTCTCAATGCAGGAACTTGAGTAAATAAGTAAATGCAGTTTAGTATAGTAAATCTGTCTCTCGGCCAATAGCTTTTGAGTTTATTTACCTGAGTGTCACCGGCTAGGTGACCTACACCTACATTCTAGCTGGTTGGCACTTGGACCTACTCATAAATCCCGCACTCCTGTTTTCCCTCCACCAGGTAGAGGTCACTGGCTGACCTCTGGGGTCTTACCTTGGCTATGGATGCCATCGCCTGCAAGTTCTCCAAAGCTTAAGTGAGACAGGCTTTCTACTCTCTCCCTTTAGCCTAGTACAGAGCCCCTCCGGGTGACATCTCATCTGTAGCCATGCCTGGTCACAGCTGTGGCCTCTCCATTGGAGGTGGTAGGGGACAGAGTTCTTTCTTCCAGCGGGCAGCTGTCTCTCAGGGGCATCTCTTCTTCACCCCTGTTTCCCCCTCCAGGGCA